TTTACAGAGTTTCCGAGGAACTCCGCAAGGAGTTAATCTTTCCTTTGTAAATGGTGGCCTGACTGGTGGAGCAGAAACTTTACACCAAGTTGAAGCCAAATACCCAGCTTTGCTTTTCAAGCAACAACTTACAGCATTTGTAGAAAAGATTTATGGAATGATTCGAGATAACCTTAAGAAAGAGATTTCTCCATTGCTTGGGTTGTGCATCCAGGTAATTGAATCTGTTTGATTCTTAAATTACCAGGCACAATTTATGGTAAAAGAAGGAATGAAATTCTTTATTCTATGGGTTATTTTATTAATTTACTTGGTAAATTATTTCTGTATAAAATTTCTTTCGGAATATGAAAAAATAGGCACCAAGAACTTCGAGGGCAAGCTTGGTTAAGGGATCATCACGTTCAGTTGCAACTACAGCAGCGCAGCAAGCTTTGATTGCTCACTGGCAAGGGATTGTGAAGAGCCTGGGAATTTTCTTGAACAGTCTGAAAACAAATCATGTCCGTAAAATTTGTCACTGCTTTCATTCCTTGTTATGTCATTTCTTCTTCCCCATTACCCGTTTCGATAAAATTGGTGTCTTTGTCTGGCTTCTAGACATTGTTTTTATTTGTCTACTTCCAACCCACTTCAGCTCTCCAAACATGGCACTTAAATGTGCCATTTACGTAGTTGACTGGCTTGGATTTTGTGGGAATGCTTCTGTTTCTATTTACTGTGCATAGATTTTCTCCTGAAGCACCCTTTTGCTTACCTGTTTTCTTTTTTGTTTTACTATTTTCAGGTACCTCCATTTTTAGTTCGCAAGGTGTTTACACAAATATTTTCATTCATCAATGTTCAACTATTCAACAGGTAGTCTGCTTGTTGTCTTTAGATGCTTTTTGAAGTATTTATACTGCAAGTAAGTTTTTTCTTATGGCCTTGTGCACACTTTTTGGGACCACAGCCTTCTATTAAGGAGAGAATGCTGTTCATTCAGTAACGGTGAATATGTTAAAGCAGGACTTGCTGAACTCGAACATTGGTGTTATAATGCAACAGATGAGGTAGCATCAGCATTGATTTATTACCATTTCACTTTGTGTTGTATAATTTCTATTTTAGTAAGCAAAAACATATTGCAGTATGCAGGTTCAGCTTGGGATGAGCTCAAGCATATCAGACAGGCTATAGGGTTTTTGGTATACCCTTCCTTTCATTGTTCATCTTGGACTCTTCTCTTTCACCATTAGTCGTTCTAACAACGATGTAAAAAAGTAATATGGTAGAGCTGTCCTGAAATATTCTATTTTCTAATTCAGGTTATACATCAAAAGCCAAAGAAGACACTGGACGAAATAAGCCACTACTTATGCCCGGTACTTTTTTTAGAATATCAGATAAACGGTTATTCCTTCAAAATCTTTTTAGATCTCAACCAGCCTTGTCTCTCCTTCCACAGGTGCTTAGTATACAGCAGCTGTATCGGATAAGTACAATGTACTGGGACGACAAGTATGGCACGCATAGTGTATCCTCGGATGTAAGTTGGTTAAAAATTATCTTCATCACAAGAGTAATAAATTTCGTAGTACTACATAAATTAATGGTAGAAAGCTAGTCATGATAAGATTTGGGCATGTGAATATCATGCCAGGTTATTTCCAGCATGAGGGTGTTGATGACTGAAGATTCAAACAATGCAGTTAGCAATTCTTTTCTGTTGGATGATGATTCGAGGTCAGTAACATTTTCCCACGTGGTGATCTTGTCGGCCGGCCCTTTTGGGTCCATTTGATTGTAAAGAAATAAATGGTGGAAAGTGAAATTGGTAAGAAAGTGCAGTGAAAGAAAAGATGGAAAAGAAAAGATATTTTCTTGCATGCATTTGATTGGGATGAAAATTTTTGTACGGAAATAGAGATAAATTTGGAATTCTAAATTATAAGTAACCACTTTTATGAACAATTTTAAACTTTCCTGTATTTTCCTGTGTTTTTTTTGCAAGAAGCTAAAAACTTAGTTACCATGCTAACATAGGTTGCACAGGACAATTATTTTTCTTGTAACTTCCACTATTTTGAATAAGTTTTTATTTTTTCCCTTTCCCTCACTTTCCACCATTTTCATCATAACCAAACTCAGCCTTCATTTGTGTATTTTTCTTTGCATTTCGTAGGAGGTAGGATGGGAACTTGACAATTACTGAATGAGGACTTCAATAATGATATTCCATGCTTGAAGATTATTTTCTTTGCTAAATTGACTCTTAACAAGTTGTCCTTCATGTTAACATCATTGACAATCTTATGGTAACCCTTTTGAGTATGATAAATTTACTGATGATTCTAGTTTTTATGTTACTTCAACTTCATTTTTGACACGCACACAACAACCAAATAAAATAATAAAAAATAAATAAATAAAAACCTAATATTGATATGCATCTTTTATAAACATATGTAATCATCAAATTGATGTCTCTAATAGACAAAAAAAATGAAGTATTTGAATGGATGGACATTCTGTAATTAAACTGTTATTATATGCAGTTTGATAGGCATTTTATAATTTGCTAAAACCCCCCATGAACCTGCTTGGTATTATTTTCTCAAACCTGTCTTGAGGTGATCTATCACTGACATCTTACAACGGTTCATGTTGCAGCATTCCATTTTCAGTAGATGACATATCGAAGTCGATGGAACAAATAGAGATTTCAGACATTGAACCACCTGCTCTTATTCATGAGAACTCAGGTTTTAGCTTTTTGTTGCCGCGTTCTGATTAATCCTTCTCGCTATTTGGTCAGTTGGCAAGAATTGTGTAGGAAATTTGTTCCTGGAGAAAGTACATTAAAGAATAGGAAACTTTTTTTCTTCCTTTTGTTTTTTTTTTTTTTTTTGGGTCTATTCATTTGACAGCAGAATTTTGTAAGAAAATTAAAATTTAGTTCATTTGCCAGGAATCCAAAATGTAAATTATGTTCACATCAAATGATGAATGTTCACTCAGATATTATAGATCTACATTACAATGTAGTTCCTTGTGGATCCCTATGGGTTGTTTCACAGTCATTATACTTTTGTTGGAGAAGAGGGAAGAAAAAGAGAGAAAGAGGCTCCCTACAAAACAAGTGATTATAACTTTTTCCCTCTAGACATATTCATTCTTACTCGGAGGTGACTAATTACAAATATGAGAATAATTTTATTAATTAGACAATTATAACTCAACAGCTATCATAAAAAATTATATATATATATATATATATTAAAAGGTTTTTTTTTTTTTTAAAAAAAAGAAAAAAAAAGAAGAAAAAAAAGAGAGAATTATCCATCAGAGCCACGATTGATCTCTCAGAGTGTACAAGAGTATCCGAGTGAGTTTAGCCCAATAGGTTAAATCCATTGCTAGCATTGAGAATGTAAAAATAAGTTGTCACACTTTAAATGAATGTTGCTAATACTACCTCGCTTTTCCTCTCGCCTTCCGCCTTTATTTTTTAAAATTATAATTTTACTTCATGAAGTTTCAATTTTATCACGATTCCTTACCTCCCAAACTATAATCATAACTCAACACCCACCACCACAACCACCACCAACTTCAGCCACCCTCCCTGCCTTCGTTATCCTCCCATCACATCACTCCTTTCCTTGTGTGTGTTTTGATCTACCTATTTATCGAGGTGGGAGGTGGTAAGGATGCTAGAAAATGGGCGCTAACAAGGGTTGGGAGGTGAGGCGGGTGGGGAAGACTAAGAAAGGGGGATATGCCAGAGGTGGGGAGTCTGGGATGGGGATACCGAAGGTGGGGGGTGGCTCGGGAGAGCAGGGAGAGAGGCTGCCAAAGGTAGAAGGTAAGGAGTAATTTAGGTAAATAGGGGTCCAAAGAAGTGGGGAATTCAAAGAAGAAAAAAATAGGATTTTCACTTCAAATCCAATTAAGTTGCTTCAAGGGAAAAAAAAAAATTACCATGAAATTTGGATTACAAAAAGGCAATATGGGGTGAGAAAAAGTAGCTCAAAAATAAAGTGTATGGTATATATTCAAACTAATTGATACAAGTCCCACCTAAATTGAATCTAATTCACACGTCTCATTTTTTGACCACTTTTTTTCTAACTATTTTTTTTGAACTCCAGAGCTTTGTTGCTGAGAATGACACAAATGTCTTATCCATTTTACTGATTGAAGTAGTAGAATCTTCTAAATACATGTTTAGTTGTAGCAGGGTTGAGCAAATTATGATTTTTCCTACTTTTGGGTGATTACTTGAGTCATGTTTTTGTTGGGATTTTATTATAAACATAACAAAAAAAATTAGTTTATTGAAAACTGTCAGTCAAAACACTTGAACAGTAACTATAATAAACCATTCCTTTCCTACTAAGAAAATTGAGTTGTGTTTGGACCTATTAATTTTAAAATGAAAAGATTTGGCACTATCTTTATAAGAAGAATAGCTCAAATTTAAATTTGATAATTTAAATATAGATTTAAAGATTAAATTTGAGAATTTTGTCATTGTGAATTTTGACTAATAGTATAAACAAAACCAAACCAAACCAATCCAATCCAATGCCTTGTGTCCTAACTCAGATGATAGCTTTAGTCTTACATTTCTATAAAATTCAACCTTAAATCTCTTCTTTGATTTCCATCCAATTAGACAGGCTTAATAATGATTTGCACTAATTTGCATATATTTTGTTGGCTCATTATACCTCATAGCAAAAGATTTCAAAAAACTATCCTATATTTGTACTCATACAACTATACCATTCAAAAAAATCCAAAAAATAAAATCAATAATTGGAATTTAATACATATCAAGAATCAAGTTTGCTTCACATAGGAAATTGCATCAAGAATCGAAGTCGGGATCAAAAACCCCACTTGACAATTAGCTCTTGCAACATATTCATCTTTTACAGGTTCTTTTCACAAATCAACAAATTATAAATTTGTGACAGTCGCACCTTATTAGACACTTTAGATGCAACAAAGAATGACACAACTTTCCAACACGAGGACAAAATTTTATTCCTTTGTAATCAAAAGCAGGAAGCTTTAGCATTCTTTTTCTACAAGGAACAAGAAATTATGGCGACTTCACAAGTGAAGAACAGAAAATTGTAAATTTTATGGGGAACAAAAAAAACCCTAAACTGATGCTATACAGTATTCAATCACCTGGGTAACAAGGATTTCCAAGAACACTGTTTTAAAGAACTAGAACTCAATCTCTTCCTTCTATTCATTCCTGAAAGTATCATGCCTGCCGGTGCTTGTAATAAAAAACTGTGAAAAGCTAGCAACTGTTTCGCTGATTAGCACGTCGTCATGATAATATCCAAAAATGAAGTGAACAGCAAATACCCAAGGTGGATAAAGAATGCCCCAACATTGCATCTGGTGTACATGCAAATAACTTCTTTTCTAAGTCTCCCAGGATAAAAGTCGCTCTCTATCAAATAGAAGCATGCTTACCTAAAATGTAAATGAAAAATGTTAAGCTCCAAGTTAAACAAACCAAAAAAATTAATGAGTAAAACAGAAATGTCTCGAAAAATAGGTAACAATATGAGGCAGCAGTTCTACAATTACTTGACAGAGACCAAGATCAATTGATTTATCAATCATAGCAACAAGCAGGTGAGAATATAATGAACGGTCGAAACAGTCTGAAATAAAGCACCGCCCATGAAACCAATATAGGTGTTGAACGCTATTAATAAGCACTATCACGGGTAAAAATTCAATTTGGGAAGACAGGCTACCTTTTAATCTTGCCGCTGTTTGCTGTTTCTTTTCTGTAGCAACCCTTTCAAAATGGGGAGCAATCAACGAGTCCAACTTTACCAACCAGAGTGCAACTGCAGATGATGTTTGCGGCATAGTTGTAAAGCTTGCAATAATTTCTTCCAGAACTGAACTAGATCCCAGATCAACGTTGCATTGACACCACTCCTCATTTATGGCATCAACAAAATCAGCAAGAACCTGAAATAGTTTTTTTGTAAAATGAGAGGTTCAAACAATTACAACTCACTCAAGTGTCATCTCGTAAAAACTAATCACATTATTCGGAAAATAGATACTCCTTTTGGAGGGAAAATAAAAGAGAAATAAAATGAAACAAACAATTTGATACCTGTAAAAACTCTGCCAAAGTAGAGGTCCGTCTTAGTCGTTTGACCCATAGTTTATGAGCAGATTTAGTCCAAGCACCAACTAATGCACCTTCAGGCATTATTGACTGCACATAAAATAGTGAGGAAAACATCATTTACAGACTGGAAAAAGAAATTTGGACTGAAAACAGAAACTTGACTCTAAGAAACTAATCAAAATATAAAGGCTTCATATGAAAATGTTTACTAATTCAACAAATTTCATAAGATGTGCTTTCTATATTAACAAACTCAACTCACATAAGCCTTAACTATTTGGAATTGGCTACACAAATCCGATTCCACAGAATTGCAGTATTTATGACAAATCCTCAATTGAATTTTTCTCTAATTTCAAAGGTATTAATTTATTCCTGCTTTCTTGTAGCCCTTGCATGTCATTATCTGGAACCCTTTTCTTTTTCCCTGTTAATAACGATTTACTCCAAACATGCTTGAACTATTTACCTCTGATTATCTGATCACTCACATGTACTCATGGATGATCCTTCAGAAAAAACATTAAAAAATAAAAAAAATAAAATCATCAAATCATCCTTGGGTTTCCTATAAGAAAATTAACACAGCTTCCTCATTTTCTTACCTTTGCTTCGCCCCTTGGGGCTGCCAATTATGAGAATGGAGGATCATGTCAGAACTTTTTTGTGCAAATACTGCAGAAAGAGCAGTGAGCACATAGTGTACCCCAGGCTCCAACACCCCACATTGGCAGGATCAACAAATAAAACTACATCCAATATATAACTTTGAAAAGGCAATGCCTCTCTTTAGGCAATTCTCTATTGCTTTAATCAGCATTTAACTCAGAAAAGTTTATTCAATAGAAATATTTTCGCCTAAAATTACAGTCAGATATAATAATATACATGTGTTGTAATATGACAAGTATACTCACATCCCAATGGCACCAAACTTTCATGGTTGGTGCCCCCACACCTAAAATCAGCCAGTAGGAAGCAATGCAGCCACTAGATTTAAGTAACTCAACTACAGGTTAATGTTGCAAGTGTATACAACCAACCCAATCCGAGATATGCAAAAATAAGTTATGCAGTTCTCTAGTCAGGCTGATTTCTTGAGTGATAATCAAATTACAGAATTCTTCAATATTTTCAAACACTACGAGAAACATGAAATATGCCATGCATAGAACTGTAGAACAGGTAACATAGCCTACATGTCATGTTGGGGTTCTGGGGAGGGGAGGCAGGAGGATTATATAGCACAGCAGTTGAACATAAAGCTTTAACCAAATGACAAACCCACCTCAATTGCATGAATCGCAGCTTTGATTGCTTGCAACTGTGACGATAGAACTTTATGATTAGGAAACATATGAGTCTCTCCATTCTCCCTACATGTGGCAACGTGAATGGTATATCTTTCCTCCAGGTCAAAATCAAGCTCAAATGTAGTATGGCAAGTCTTACAGTGCTTCTCATCTCTCCAATACAGATCATGACAACATTCACATCTAGTAAGTGAATCAAGATAAGACCTTTTGCTATATTTAACAGCATTAAGATTAGAATAAAAAGAATTCCATATCCAGGTGTCAAAAGCTTGGAGACGGCTCCATTTTTGTTTTTGATGATCTTCTTTGTTCCCAGTTTCAAGAACTTTGCCACCAGAAGAAACCTGATAATCATTCTTTGTCTTAGTCAGGCAAAGATTGTTGTCTGCATCAGACACCACTGAAGAACTGTCTTCTCTGGATATATTGAGCTCAGATTGATCAGATTGACTCAGTTGCCTGATTCCAGTATCATTAAGCATATTAGACATTGTCCGGCACAGAAATGCTTCTCGTTTTTTCAAAGACGCAATAAGGTAAGCCTCCCTTGTACCCCTACAGTCCAAAGCTGACAACAACGTGCTTAAAGCCTGCAATGAGAATTATGTGCACACATCAGGAAAAGTTCAACAGCTAAACTTTACAGCACAAAAAGATGATTAAATCATACAACATGAAGAGAAAGAATGAGAAAAAATTACCTCTTCAGTATCAATCACCTCCCAGTGACCATCTTCAGAAGATTCAAAATAAATCCTCTTGTGGCCTGGATCAAACGCACTACAAGGGCCCAGAAAAATCCAGTATCTATTGTATCTACGATCAGAACCCAAAAAGATTGATTGCATAGGATGTAAATCATCTTCAACCTCCATTTCTTTTGCATCCTTCCTTTGACTACAGGATTTCACATTTGCACAGATCTTAGAGATAGATGCTGAAGAATCAACAGGGTGAAGCCCTGATGTTGTATCTAATTCTTTTGTAGCAACCATTTGTCCAATGTGGCCTCCAATTGTAGGCAAGTTATGCTGTTTCACTGATGATCTCTTTATCTTAGCTCCAGAACCACAATGGTTGATGTTGGGAACGCATTGCGCACTGGGTACTATTCGATCCTGTATGCCAATTTGTCATACTGGTCAATATAAACTCACATAGCAGAACTGAGTATTAGGCATTCCAACAATTTAAGAAATGAGGCAATCTGTTAATTGTTCTCCAAGACCATCACAATGAATCAGCATAAACATTTTTTTTTTTTTTCCAAATAAGAAATCACCATAGACGATATTTCACCTGAATATCACAGGAAGTGAATATCATAGGAACTTGTATATGATAGGTAATCTACCATGGAATTATTTTAAAACCACAAAAAAAAGACACTATGTAAAGACATAGAAATATGTCAACACTTGATACAATAGTCCTTGAAACGTGCTGGCAACTTGTGGAACTAAATACTTATCAAAATTTCATTATGTCAATATCTCCATGTCAAAGCTCCTTCATATTTCAAGACCCACATTCAAATGTCCAAATATTTAGTAGCATGTCAAACATGTTTTAGATAACATTGGGCTATTGCTATAGACTATCAATCCCTTGATATATTCAAGAGTTCATAATATTGACCTTCAGCTCCTCCTTTACAAGGTTTTTATTTTGTTGGATGTATGATTCGTAGCTTCTTACTTGAGAAGTAATTACACTACTGTGGCATGAACAGATCAAGTTGTTGTAATATTACTGTTCATGCTACAGTATCATGCACGTCCATGATACTATTGCACAGGAACTTTCATGTTGTGTTTAGATCTTGTATTTGTGAAAAGATTTGTGGAGAGAAAAGAGAAAGGAACGTATTTGTGAAAAAAAAAAGAAGGAAAAAAACAAAACAACTTATAGCTCCTATAGCACTCACTTTTCCCTCCCATTTTTTTTTTTTTCTCTTCACAAATCCCTGATCCAAACACACACCCTTCACTACACCATAGCATGAAGCATTTACATGCTCTTGTCCATTTTACAAAGTTCAAATTGGAAACTGAGATTAATTCAATACAAATTGTTATAAGAACCACAAAATTTAAAGATAGGGTTTCTTCATAAAGGGTTACGCACCTATCTTTTGAAAATAAAGAATAATTAATGTAGAACCAGCATAATTGAAGTTTATTGCTTAACGAGGATATCACCTCATTTGTGGTTATTTATGAAATCATAATTTCAGACATTTGGGCATCATTCATTGGCTATTTTTAACAAAAAATCCAGGTTTCATTACAATTTCAATGAGAGTTCATATTCATAACATACCCTTTACCCCTTATAGAGCTGTGGGATTCATTTAATCAAATCTGAGCTCTCTCTTAAGAAGACATTGCAAATGAGGGCCTAAATGTGGATGATAAAACACAAAAACAGCTGTGGATGATGAAGGTCCTTCCTCACTGATCATGACATGACAAAGAACAAATGCATAAAAGAGATTGAGGGAGAGAGGGAGGGAGAGAGAGAGATAATGAGCAACGACTTCTAGCCCAAATGGTAAGCAATATGATGGACCATGTACAAACCATGATATCAATTAAATCGATTTGAAGTTATGGCAACTAGCTTTTAACCAAGGTATAAAGCATTGCCAGGTTGAACTTTGGTTATATTGAAATTCAAATACTTCATTGAAGCTTTAGTTCAAAAGAAAAATGTAGAATAAAAGTAACCTTTGTTATTTTTTGACTCAAAACAAATTTGAAGTAAGTATGTCAAAACACTCAGATGATCAAAAGGTTTAGACGGGCTTCGACTTGGAGTTCAAGCGCCTCATGGTACATGAAAACCTTGCTTCTAGCACATGCTATGACATGAAAAGTTACCAAAAAAATTAAGCACAAGATCAGTCCTCATTTTCTGCCTAAAAAAAATAACAGTTTCATTAAAAAAGAAAATAATATGAATTACCTCCATTCTGATACTGGATCCAGCACTAAGAAGATCAACCAATGCCACTAAGGCATTCAGTTTTTCCTCAATGCTTAAATCTGAATATTCACCTTCGATCAGTCCTAACAACCATATTTCTCCAGGATGGCTCTCGTCAATTTCAGTGTTTACGGTCAACGCTTTATTCTTATTTTCACGACGGCTGCTTCGCTTAGGCGTCCCTGAATCATATTCAGAGTCATCACCACTGCTGTCTCTGTCACTGTTTTTAGAGTCATCATCAACACTGCCAAAGTCTTCGGAATCTAAATCAAAAATTTCAGCTTCTTTCATGGCAGAATTAATACGTAGACGATATGCAGAAGATGAAATCTTTTCAAACAAGGTAATATCACTTGAAAGCATAGAGCTTATTTTAAGTTCCAGCTCATCAGTTGTCGCTGCGAGATTTAAGTCCACAATCTTCAAAGCAAAACAAAACAAAACAAACATTTATCAGAATCTTGAGAATAGTGACGGCAGAAACTTATCAATATCATTTTTTTTAGAAGTGACATCCATGGGACAATAACTCACTTGTGAAGACTCTGCCAGATCAGAAACTTTCATCCCATTATTGCCTTGCTCAGACAAAATACTGAACAATTCACCCTTCAAAGTACCAGGACATAAGCCATATTTTGCCATGAGATTGACTTCCTATAAAACAGATATGACCAAATATTTGTATTAGAACAGAAGAAAACCATTAAGAATTAGGACATGACAGTACAATCATAAAGCAAAAGACAAAACACCTTTGCTTTCAATCCCCTATAATTATATGTGCAACATAATTAGAACAGAACAGAATGAAAAAGCATATGAAAACTCAAATACTCATGTAGAGTAAATGCCTGAAATTTGGATACCTTGTTAAGACCTTCCTTCCGCAATGTACCATGCTTTGAACCAAAACCAGCTGCAACAAATACTTGACGCAATATCTCTGTCCACGTCAGGGGGTTTAGATGTTTCTTCCAGAAATCCACAACATACTGCTGATGTTCAACCTACCATCACAAATTGTGTACATTGTAGATAGGTTTCTTAGTATGACAGAACATGGAAAACTGGCTCATCAAGACAATAAGAAGCACAAAAATAATACATAAACAGTAAAAAGAAGGCCATTTGCAGAGCAATATGATAAATAAAAGAATGAAAAGGCAACACTAAGAGGGCCTGGGCTCTTCGGAATAGTGTGATTTCTGCCGTACTTTGGGTTATTTGGACGCAATAATTTTTTATTTTTTATTTTTTGATAAATAAAAGAAATGCAATAATTTTTTATAATAAGTTTGACAATATTGAAGACCAATAGGAGAAGATTTTTTGTTTCACAAAATGGTATTGCTTGTGAGTAATGCCAACATATGTGCCAGAAATACAGGTCTACTAATGTTATAACTAATCTGTATCAAAAGAATCTTCCATCCAATAGCCACAACTTTAAATGCTTGGACTATTAGAACACAATCATGCATTGCAAACACATCAGCCAGCATGTATCACAATTGTTGTCCAACTGCTATGCTTGCTTAAACAATCAGCGATTAGTTCCAAAATATATTTTTTTTAAATATACAAAAAAGGACCAATCGACAAAGCTGCCTCAATAACAACAAAATTTAAAAACAATTAAGGCAACAAAAATAGTGCATTCTAAAACAGTGCTCCACATTCAAACATAATGTTAAGATTGTCCTATCACAGAGCAATAAACTACTGTCTTATCATAGACAACATTCAATCTTTCAACCAACAGATTTCAGATCAACTGAACTCTTTTCAAAGAACTTAATAAACAAAGAAAACAAATAAAAATGGTAACTAACTAGGTTCTTAAAGCTGGCTACAGTAGGCATTCTAATAATTAATAATCTTGGAAATATTTAAAAATATTTATTAATTAATAAAGCATTAAATATTAAGTTTCATGACAATTTGTAATGATGAAAAAATTGCTACTACATATACGACTTTCAATATAAAATATGACTTATGTGCATACGTTTGAAGGTAATAAACTTTTATTCAGGAAAAAAATATGTCAATTATATTACATCTAGATTGTACAAAAGCTCTTAATTCCTTCTTTATCACTTATAAACTAATAGTACTAATAGTTCAAATATAATTGATATGGTTGTTTGTGTTTTTTAATTGCAAAATAATTAATACTAGAAAAGAATTTTTTTCATAAACTTATTAATTATTAAGTGATAGAGAAGTTAATTATACACCATAAAAAGAAGTTGATTCGTGAAAAAATTATTTAATTAATACAGATTATTATAAAGATAGAATATTAGTTATAAGAGGGTCAACTGTACTTAACAATGCATTCTTCAGAAGGAGAACCCGCAGCAATGTTTTTTCCAACGGACACACAAAACTCAATACAATCAACCAAACTAATTTTGATGGTTAAGACTCCTTGATACTTACCGAGTGAAGTAACTCAAGAAACTTTCCATTTTTGCTCACGTGAGGAAAAAATCCTCTGCCAAGCTCTGTTTCAACATCAGAGAGAAGAAGTTCGAGAAGGGCAAGATGAATTTTTCCAAGTAACATTGATTCCTAAGCCATGTGTGGAAAAAAATAATGTATAATCAGCAAAGGACAACCTGAAGACCACTTAGATGAATGGGTAACAAGCACTTGCAAATTGAGAAAGCCACATAAAAAATCTGACTAACAGTAACTGAAGACCAGGAATGAGAACTGACCTTGTCATGAAATGCTTGAGCAAACTCATCTAGGGTAAAAGAACATATATTGAACATCACAGCGTATGTATAAAGAAAATGGAAGACCTGCAGCAAACAAGTCTGCATAAGCTCACGAAGACAACAGATATATTATGTGCATTAAGTCAACTTCCACTGGGATCATGCAAAGATATCGAGCTCTATAAATGTTTGCTTCCTTTATTTGAAATGTTGATAGACCACCAATGAGACAGAAACTAACGCTCCCTTTTGTGAAGAGGACACTGTAGAGAGAAACAATAAAGAAACAACACTTTATTCAAATGCCTCCATCACTCTGACAACACAAAGCTATATGAACCATGGTCAAAGTGATGGTCAATCTCAAGGCTAACCCAGAGCTTGTGTGGATGACTAGAGGAATGACATTTTAGGCACACTGCATCTATTCTCTCTCTGTGTCAGTTTCACCTTAATGCTTAAATATTTCACGTGGAAAGGTGAACATAGAAAAAGAAGAGGAAAATATTCTAGGAATGATACGAATTGAACATCCAAAGAACATACCAACTAAAATTATAGGTGCGGGAATTGTGAGAAGGCAACTTGATCTCATGTTTTACAATATCTTAAAGCAATAGGCATCACAGAATAAAGAGATGACTTAAGTCTCGGTACATACATATCAAGTGAAGTCATGGGTTGTATTCTACAACAAGATGGTAAGGATGCAATCAGCATAGTAAGCATCTTGCGACTTTTGTCAGAGAACATAGCAACTCACTTAAAGGCACAACAATTGTTAAGGGCAACTGCCTCTCATGTTTTTCACTATCTCAAAGCAACAGGCGTGACTGGATAAAGAGATAACTGATAGTATACACTTGATAAAATAAGTCATAGGGAATGCGTACAGGAATCAGGTAAGAATGCAGTCAGCATTATAATGAATTCTGAAGGACCACAATCATAAAAAGTAATGGGATAACAAGCTTCTTCTAGGTGAAATTCAGAAGAAAAAACACTGAATCTACTAAAGAGACAGGTCTTCAAAGTAGATGCAAAGGAAATGAGAATGAGCCATCACAGCTCGTGTGTGGTGTTCCTTGCATAGCAGGATCACTCAAACAAGTCAAAAAAGTATGATTAAGTATTTGCTCTATACACCTTAAAAAGTTTCTTGACAAGCTCTGGTGAAGAACCCCATGGTTGCACATGGAACGGTAGCTTCATTATGACAGAATTTGGTGGAAACTTAGCCAGCAAATCTGAAAATCACAAGATAGGATGACTTCAGTAACATGAATAAACCATCATAAAGATTCCAACATAGTTTACAATCCATTTATTTCAACATAAAGCATTTTTCAAAAAAGGTTCAGAAGTCCCTTTTTAGTTATTTGGTAGCACCTAGCTAATTCCTTACACAAATTTGTAAGGAAAAAAAATGCATCTCAAAATCTTGTATATCACTTGAACAGTTTTGTTTTTTCCGTTTCCTACAAGTCCTCTTCCTTGTAGACACTTGGGACTAGGTGCATCCAACAATAAATTGCATATAAAATAAAATTTTAAAAAAAAAAAAAAAAACATGGACATGCATGAAACATACCTAATGAGCATGGATATACATTTGCACCTGTGGGTACTTGTATCAAGCCCAATGCGTGGCAAGCTCTACGGGTGCCACATCACCAAAGCTCCGCCTGCATGGCAGACCAATAAGGCACCACATGGGCGTATCACATGTCTGATACATGGTGTATATCACTTGAACAGTTTTGTTTTTTCCGTTTCCTACAAGTCCTCTTCCTTGTAGACACTTGGGACTAGGTGCATCCAACAATAAATTGCATATAAAATAAAATTTAAAAAAAAAAAAAAAAAACATAGACATGCATGAAACATACCTAATGAGCATGGATATATATTTGCACCTGTGGGTACTTGTATCAAGCCCAATGCGTGGCAAGCTCTACGGGTGCCACATCACCAAAGCTCCGCCCGCATGGCAGACCAATAAGGCACCACATGGGTGTATCACGTCTGATACATGGAGAGCCCTACGAGCGCCATGGCATCAACACTCGCCTACCTGGTAGACCACTAAGGCACCATGCAAAACCAAAACTATACGCTTAGCCTAAGCGGGAGCATATACACAAGCCCAAATATGAAGAGCTCTACAACAGGCAACACCATAGCCTCGTAAGCCCATGGTCCTTCATACCTCACTCCAAGACCAAACAACAATATAATCAGCCCTCGGCTTACTTAGACTTGGATTGATAAGTTGAAGCCCTAGTTCTCCTAAACATTGAGATAGGCCCATGGCCTATTCTCCTACTTGGTCGCCTGGAAGCAAGCCCTTGGCTCTCTTAAATATTGAGATGGGCCATGGCCCATTCACCTACTTGGTTGCCTGAGTTGAGAGCAGGACCCAGGTACAACCGCTCAAGAGATCAAAGGATTTTGGACCGGCGGCTGAGGTCATAGGATCGCCGAGATGGTTGTGTTCTTGGTAAGGCCTACCTGGTAGACCACTAAGGCACCATGCAAAACCAAAACTATACGCTTAGCCTAAGCGGGAGCATATACACAAGCCCAAATATGAAGAGCTCTACAACAGGCAACACCATAGCCTCGTAAGCCCATGGTCCTTCATACCTCACTCCAAGACCAAACAACAATATAATCAGCCCTCGGCTTACTTAGACTTGGATTGATAAGTTGAAGCCCTAGTTCTCCTAAACATTGAGATAGGCCAATGGCCTATTCTCCTACTTGGTAGCCTGGAAGCAAGCCCTTGGCTCTCTTAAATATTGAGATGGGCCATGGCCCATTCACCTACTTGGTTGCCTGAGTTGAGAGCAGGTACAACCGCTCAAGAGATCAAAGGATTTTGGACCAGCGGCTGAGGTCGTAGGATTGCCGAGATGGTTGTGTTCTTGGTAAGACAACTCAATTTCAACCAAGCTTGGAGAAGAGGCAAAAACGACCTTACACTCACGCCACCTGATGCATATATGATACGTTGCTCTCCACTTGCCATGAAACGTTTCTCTCCAGCATGTCATCAAGCCACAGACGGCACAATGGCTTATATCACTTCTAGTAGAGTCGAAGAGAACGAGCCTGTCCAACAGGTTGCTTAGGCTTCAATACTCTTGCGGCCTATATAACGTATCATATATGCACTAGGCAAACTCACTTCACTTCACCACAACATAACTCCATAACTCTAACACATATACACAATACACAAGTCTTACACTTAGACACTCATACTCAAAGACTACACTAGTGTTCAAGGTCCATCACTGCCAACCTCTTCCTCTCCAAGCTTGCCTTGGCCTCCTCCTCTCCACCTCCGGTGATCTCAGGCCATTGAAGTGCCTGCCATCTTCCTAGACTATTTCTAACCACACCTCTCACCCACAGCACCCTTATGCATGTATACATAAAGACCTATATATGTGCATATATATGCACATAAATGTACCCACTCGTATACATGCCTATAAACTAGATAATATGTTCTCACTTACCAATCACCCTATGTGCATCCCTAGTTTCCCTCTATCTAATAAGCAATGGAGTTCGAATCTGTAGTTTGCACCCCTTACTTGCAAAGGCTGTTAAAATCAGGATTCTACGTGGATCATTGGAAAGAACAATCGGATATAGGATTGTAAGATCCTACTTTCACTACACAACATATGAAATATTATCAATAATGATAATGTACATTAAATAATTTTAAAATCATTAAAGAGGAATAATAAATTTGATATACTGCATCTTCTATGCTTATATTAATTGTTATATATTATTTACTAATAATATTTAATAATGACTATTAATAAAATGGTTCACTACTTCATTTTAGAGGCAAATCAAATTTTCAATTTTTTTTTTTTTAACGCAGTTTTCAATTCTCCCTCCAAATAATTTAATTTACTCCCTTCAAATTCTCAAATGGAATTAATCATAAGAAGAGAAGCTTGGAGAGGGAATTTTGATATATACACAAATACACATACATATCTAAGAAATAAATCATAAGAAAAAAAAGTTGGTGAAACAGGATCGTAGTGCGAGTTTCTACATGATTTTGTGATTAGGATTGTAACCATTAAGGCCTCGTTTGGCAACAGGCCGGTTTAGCCAAAAAATCAAAAAGTTACTAAAAAAGCCAAAAAGCCAACAAACCATGCCAAAAAGTCAAAGATTCTCTTTTCTCTCTACTTTTTGCACATTTTTTCGTAAAAAGCCAAAAAGTTATCCCAAACATACTATTTTTTTTTAGCTCATATTCTAGTCAAATAGCCAAAAAGTTACTAAATTAGCCTGTTCCCAAACGAGGCCCAAGATTTTACAAAATTTTAGATCCCAGTGTGGTTCAGATTGTTAGGCCAAGCCAAGGTCGTAGAATTGTAAGATCCTAGTATCCAAATTTGATAACTTCATGCATGCTTGTACAAGTGCATATATACATTTTCTTAGTATTGTTAACTTACATCCAAAGCTTCAACCGAACATAGAAAAATGAGAAGCATGATTTTCTTCATGTAAACACCATTAAAGCATTTTCTGGTGTATAACATTTTATGTAAAATAAATGGAGCAAGCAACAGAGAAATTATCAAATTCATTTGACATAAATAACATCTACACTGCCTAGAAAAACAAATAATAGCAGCAACAGTAGTTGTAGTATTTTTATATAAATATAAATAATAACAAAAATAATAATGACAACCATAATAAATAACATATAGACCAACCTTTGCAAAGAGAACAACCATGCAATCCATTGGTAGCAAAATGAGCAGTGCAGTTTGGTCCTGCTTGTAATTCCCGTAGCTCCAGCTCCTCATCATCCACTAGCATTGCAAATTGTTCAAGATCTTCTTGACAGCTCACTCCTTCCAAAGCCAGTTCACATTTTTCTTTGAGTAGCTGCTTCTGCTTCTCAGCATTATTGCCTTCCACCTTCAATTACAACAGGCCAAGACTAAATTACTATAGCTGCTAAAATAAATCGAACCGATACAACTATAACATATTTACCTTTCTTCTATTGATGGGAGGCTTCCTTTTTTCTTTTACTTTGGTTACTTTTCTTAATGTTCTCTGTATATAAATGAGCAACTTATGTTAGCTATCTTTCTTGTGTAATTATTAATACAATTAAGATCAAATGCCTGATACACACATATTTGCTCAAAAAGCTTCACAGGCAACAAAACAAAATTTCAACCATAAACGTTTATGAAATGTAGATCAAATCACTAACCATCACAGGCTGTCGTTTCCGTGATTTTTTTTCTCGAACAAGTGGTTTCCGGGGAGCAGAAGCTGACACCCGGAGAACAGCAGTGGGCTCTCTCTCATTAAAATTAACACCTCTGGGAAAATCTCCACCATCAGGATTGATTGCCCGCCAAACTGTCATCAAACCTTTCCCAATACCATGTTTCTTCACTGGAGCACTCTTTTTATTGCAGACTTGGTAATCCAAGAGGGTAGGTTTGGAAACCTGAAAAGAAGGCACATAATAACCTAATTTAGGAAATATCCTGCCAAATCATTTCAAAGTTCCACCTGGATACATATTGCACTACCTTTCTCTTTTTTGGTGCTCTTTGGTTTCCATCACAAGCATGATCAGAATTTCTGGAAGCCTTATTTCCTTTCATTGCTCTTTGGTTTTCTTGGCAAACATGATGAGAATATTTGGAACCCAGTCGTCCTACAAATACAAAATAAGATTAAACAGCCATAGAAATAGAAATGGGCAATTCGTCAATCCAACTTAAAAATGAACCAAAATGTAGGACACGGCTGGTCCTCTCATCTAAACCGCAAGATCCATTCAAAACAAAATTGAATAACATGGACAGATGTTCAGCTTCCTCATTAAAACCAGCCTTGTTTTAGGAGATTCTAAAACCTACATTTAGCTGGTTTCCTCTTGTATGAGATAGTGGAGCATATGGACAGAGCACAACCTCCTGCTTTGGAAATCTCAACACAGTTCCTCCTACAATTAAGTTCATTTAACAAGCATGTTCCTTCAAAGTGAGAAATAAAAATGAAAGGATATTCCCAACATCCAGTCTACAAATTTGCTTGCACCAAAAAGTCACAAAGCCACACTGCTGCTCCTTTCTTCAATTCCCTCATTGAATCAATAGGAATGCCACTAAAAGCATCAAGCAGTTGTGAAGGAATCAAGCAAAGACAGCAAACAAATTTCCAATAACTTTTCCAATTCTTTATGCGACACAACGATCAGCAAAGCAGGTGTGCCCATATAGGAAGCACAAATACTTCTAAGAATGTGACATCGAACCCTAAAAACACCCGACTCAAGTCAGACATGCTTTCAATTTTCCAATGTGTCATACTTTTTTTTTTTTAATCTTTTTTATGTAGACTTGGCCTAATAACCTTAAGGTTATGGGTTCAAGTCTTGGAGCCACCACTTTGTGCATTATGCCAAAGATTAGATGTGTACTCAATCTTTCCCATCCCAAACACACATTAATGTGTACTAATTAGGTGTTGTTTTTATTTTTTATTTTTTATGTAGACACGCTTAGGACAATTGGGGGGGGCACAACTGCCTATTGCTTAGACACTCATGTTATACATTGAAAATTTGAAGAGAATAGCTTGGGAGCCGATGATTAAAATCAAAATAATATAAAATTATACCTATTAATGTCTCAGCCTTTAGGCATTTTAAATTTAAGAACTCAAAGCTTAAAACTTACGATTTGTTTGGGAACTTTTAAATAAATATTAAGACTGTTTGGTCACATTTTTTTTTTTTAATATAGAATGTAGAAAATGATTTTTTACTATATTGATATAATTAAATATAAATAAATTCGTAGAATAAAAAATAAAGATAAATATTTATTTATTTGTTATCATGTAACACAATTTCGTATTGACTTGAAAGTTGTCGCGTCTCTGAGAAATTTGACACTTATCTTTTTGCTCAGCTACTGAGCCCCTCCCTCCTACCCAGCAAATCATATTAAATTTAAATACAAATATAATTACCACACATATGGACGAAAAAACTTTTTTTATTCCCTAGTTCACTTATCGCACCATTTCCATAGAATAACAAAAGCCACAACAGCTCCTGAGATTGACCAAATGGAAGTCACAATGCACTATTTAGAGAAAACCATGTTAGGAAAACCAAAAACAGTATGCATAAAAAATAAAATAAACCCCCAGCATCAGCAAAGACTAAAACATACTCAAAAATTTTGCACATCAACCTGTGAAACAGAAATAGCTGAGTAAAACAATGCAAATACTTAAACACTACTCATCTCCCACTACTACAATTACAACTTCTTCTCTTTTTTGAGAACCGGGTGTCCAGGCCAGCTTACACGCACCTCGACTAATCCCAGGTGACCAGTCCCACGTCCCACTTGCAGGGGACCCATTTAAAGACAGAGCAAACGCACAAACGCCTGGACTGGCTGGTGAACTATAATTACAACTCTCGCAATGACTAGTCACTATCGTGGCGCATTTAATATCATATTATTCATTTTATAGAATACAAACACCAGTATATGATTACAAGTCTCATATTCCAAAACGAAACCTGTACAATTAGCATCACAACAGAACGAACTCTATAATTAAAACCTAAAAATTAAAATTTCGTGTGAGTACTAATCATACACCAGCAGTATTACCTTTTTTACAATGCTGGAAAGCTTGAGAAGGAAGAGAATCGAACTCATCACCGAGTGGAGGACCATCCTTGCGAAAAACCTTCTTGAGAATAGAGTCTGGACTCAACAGAGCATCGTGTAAACGAAGACGATGATGAGTCTTGAGCTCGTTCTTCTTGACAATCCCTCTCTTGGCGGCCATGGCAGGAGAGCCATGGTTCTTGCGACGCCCCGACATCGTCGTTCCAGTGACGAGAATTAATTGGCCATCAATGGAGGCTTTGGTACGATTGATTGATTGGAAAATAGAGAGAGAGTGAGCGAGTTCAGGGTTTTGAGGTCGGTTGTTAGGGGTTTTGGGGATTGAGGAAGAGAGAGAGAGAGAGAGAGAAGAGGGATAAGACTTCACTCTAGCTGTGTTGAGAAATGAGAGAGAAGAGTAGGGTTTTGGGTTTTTGGAGATTTTTGGGTTTTTTTTTTTTTTTATCGTCAGCAGTAGGTTGTTCTTTGAAAATATCTCTCTCAAACCGGGCCCGGTTAATTAATCAACAATAATCGACCGAACCGGTTCAGACACACAAGAGGGAGACTTTTATTACAATTTCGGATGGTCAGTAGTAGATGATTTAGGGGGTGTTTGGTTCCGGATTTTTTTATTTGATTAAAATAATTAATAAATATGAAATAGTATAAAATAGTTAATAAAATAAAATATTATATTTAAATCATAATTATTTAATTTAATTTTTTTCTCATAAATATCAAATTAATTATAAAAAAAATATCATTCAAAACATAATTTTTTTTAATTAAAAAGTTAAATGATTTTTTTAAAATATTCAAATGAGCCCTTAAATATGCGGTTTCCTTAATCATTTTTTATTTTAAAATTTTTACTTGCACAATGAGTGAGACTCGTAACTGGTGTCATTTTTTAGAGGGAGACTTTCCACTGGGTTAATGGACCAAACAATGCCCATCAAGGCCCAATCCCACTAACCGGTACAGATGAAGACATTTCCCACGCTTTAGCCTCAGTTTGGCGAGAGAAGTTTGGGCTATTTTAGTCGCTGCCGGACAAAAAAAGTTAAATTAGCCAAATAGAGACAAAAGCTTATCACGTGCTTGGCAACAAGCCATGTCACAACAAATTTACCAAACTATCCTTACATGAACTTGATTGAAAGGGGCATCGCCTCACTACACACAAAATAAAAATAAAAAAACTTTTCCCCAAAAAAACCTTTTTCCAAAAAACACAAAGAAAGAAAAAAATTAAAAACAAAAATTAACAGTTGCCACGTAATTTAAAAATAAATAAAACACATGAAAAATCATTTTTGAAAAAAATAATAATAATGTATACAAATAAAAATAAAAATAAAAATGACAAAAATGTAAATAAAAAAAAATCACAAAAATACGCCTCATCCAAAAAAAAAAAATTTAAGAACAAAAATTAGCATTTGCCACGTAATTTAAAAATAAATAAAACACATGAAAAACCATTTTTCAAAAATAAAAACAAATTAATGTATACAAAAAAAAAAATGACAAAAACATAAATTAAAAAAAATTTCCAATTTAATACGCCTCATCAAAAAAAAAATTAAAAAAAAAGTACAATGACGATGACGTGGAAGAAGGAGTCGGCTAAGAGTGGAAAAGGTATTACCAAGGGCAGTTCGATATTTAACATCTGGACACCTCACCAAAATGCCAAAAAGTCAAAAAAATCAAAAAATCCTACCCAAACCAAGCTTTTTAGCCTCAGGCTAAAATAACCAAAAAAGCCAAAAAGTCAAAAAGTTAACCCACTTCCCAAACAACACCTTAGTGTCGCGCGGATGTTGGAGTATTCTATTTTTTTCGGTATGTTTAATTTAAATTTATAAATTTTAATTCATATTATATTTTAATATGAATTTATTAATAAGGATAACACATATTAAATTCTAAAGTAATTTTTTTTCCCTCATGGTACACCTTAATCAGTTATTTCTATTCAAATCTCTGCATCTTCTTCCTCAAGAAATCAAAGTTATTTCTTCTTCTTCTTCTTCTTCTTCTTCTTCTTCCTTCCAAAATTGCAATCCACCTTATCAAAACTCACCATCATCATCAACATCATTGTTTTTTATTATTTTGAAACTCTAAATCCCATAAGAAAGTTTGAACAAAATCAAATAATGAATGAGAGTAATAATCAAAATAATTTTTTGAATAACCCATCAAAAATGATGTAAGTATTCAAATAAAGGTATTTCACATTTTTGTAGAGCGCCTTCAATTATTTTTTATATCGTTTTTATGACAAAAATTAAAGGATCATTAGTTAGATTAACAATAGCATATTATTGGGGTTGTTCTTGTTTTGTCATTTAAATAGTACATTACTTGATAACTACTCTTTCCTGTTAGTGCATGATGCTTATGTACTTATAAGTTTGATTTTTACTTTTCCACGAGCATTCTTATGGATAATTTATAATATAAATTTTTTTTTTTCTATATTGAAAAGTTTCATAATGTTTATGTAAAAGTTTTTTTTTTTTTTTGTATTTATAATGCTTATACCCTTATAAGTTTAGTTTTTTTTTTTCTGTGTTTGAGAATTATTTTCTATATTAAAAAGTTTTTGAAATAATTTAGTTTTTTTTGTTTGTTTATTATTTATTATTTGGGTTTACCTTGAGGGTAATTTGGGAAAAATAATAGGGTGTAATAATAGTAAAATAAAATTTAAAATAATTAAACATGGTGTACTTAAAAATTAAAAGTATTTAATGATTTTTTTTGGTGCAAATAAAATCCCTCGAATGTTGGGCATACCACGCGAATGTTGAGCCAAGCTAACAAGGTCCACAGGGCGTGTTACGTAAGAGTTGGGCTTAGTTGACCAGACAAATGTACTAGGTCTTTTAGATCTGGATGATGATAAGAGCATCGCCCAAAGCTAGGAGTGTAAAAATGGCCCGTGGGTGCCCCAAGTCCGTCTGATGTTTGGGTGGGCCCAGTCCATTTAGGCCCGAGCCTCTAGGCCTGGGACATCATTTTGAAGCTTGTCTTGGCCCATCAGCCTGTTTAAGGCCCATTCAAGGCCCGGTCCGCCCAAGGTCCAGTGTCTGTTTTAGTAGAAAATAATAAATTTTTAGTAGAAAAAATTTATAAAAAAAAATTGTTAGGCTCACTGTAACAACCCCCATACTGTTTACTGATTAATGACTGCTTGATTACCGATAATCACCGATTACTGTTAAACGAGACTGATAATGACTGATAACTGACTGATAATTGAACTGACTAAAAGTACTGAACTGACTGACTGAAATTGGAAACCGAATTGATTGAGTATATGTTAGTTAAATTATATTCTATCTGTTTGACTGTATGATTATCTGTTCATATTTTAGTGTTTAAACTGCTAATTGAAGGCCTTATCGGCGGCCGAATTAGAAACTGATTGATGTTTAATGATCATCATAATTAATGTGATTTTATAGTACAATTATCTGAAAATTGATTAGGTATGATTAAATTAGATTAAAATAAGCTAATTAAAGAGTTTGACTTAATTACCGTTTTGCCTTGAGTGGGCCACTACCTCTACACTTTGAGCTCATTATACTTGAGCCAAAAACATTCCCATCAGCCATATCTCTTGTTCTAGCCGACCTTGAGGAAGAGAGAGTGAGGGTTTGTGTAGTTCTTGAGATTTGGCTTAAACAACTTAGAGAATTGAAGGTTGATTGTTGCTTTGTGGTCCTACACTTGTAATTGAAGCTCTAGGTAAGAGAACTCAACCTTTATTGATGTGTTTGAGCTAGTTCTTGCATGGTTCATGTTAATTTGTAGAGCTAAGTCATGATTTGGTTCATTAATGGTGGATTGAAGCTCATTTCTTGCATGCATGTTAGTATTGTTGCATTTTAAGGTTGATTACATGGACATTAGTACATGCATGCGTTCTTCAAAGTTTTAAATTTAAATACTTTATCGTATATTATTTTATATGTCCATTTGAATCCATTTTGTAATATATTTCATGGTGTAATCTAGTTCATTCTTGTGTTTTTTTTTTTAGCTTTATAGTTTATTGTATATTAATAATAAATAATAATAATAATAATTTTTTTGTCATTTCTATTTAATTCATTTTATATATTTTTCTTGTATTTTTAGGAAAAAATACCAACAATTTTGACATGGAATGTAACCATGAGATTCACACAAAAAAGTAACCATGAGTAAGAAAAAAAAAATCCAAAACAAATTCAACTTTCAAAATAAATAAAATTTCTAAATAAATCAATTTATCCTTCACCCAATTCCTTTTGATCCCAAAAATGGAGTGACAGCAAAAGTACTCCACAAATTTCAATTCATAGTTTAATTCGGACAAATTCGATTGAGTTGTTTCAACTCAATCGAACCCGATCTGCATTGAGACTCAATCAGCCTTAGCTCTCACTTGAATATTTTGGGCTGGTTAACCTTTTTCTTTGGCACTATTGCACTTAGGGATATTCTATTTGAACTCAAAATATATCTTAGTATGTTCAATTTAAATTCATAAATTTTAATTCCTACTATATCCTAATATGAATTTACTAATAAGGACAATATATATTAAATCTTAAAATAATTTTTTTTCCCTCATGGTATACCCTAATCAGTTATTCTTATTTAAATATCTATATCTTCTTTCCCAAAAGATCAAAATTATTTCTTCTTCTTCTTCTTCCCTTCAAAACTCCAATCCACCCTACCAAAACTTATCATCATTATCAACATCTTTGTTTTTTATTATTTTGAAATCCTAAACCCTAAAAGAAAGTTTGAATAAAATCAAATAATGGCTGAGAGTAATAATAAAAATAATTTTTTGAAGTAACCCATTAAAAAGGAGGTAAGTATTCATATAAAGAGGTTTTACAATTTTTGTAGAGCACCATCAATTATTTTCTATATCGTTTTTATGACAAAAATTAAAGGATCATTAGTTAGATTAACAATAGCATATTATTGGGGTTGTTCTTGTTTTGTCATTTAAATAGTACATTACTTGATAACTACTCTTTCCTGTTAGTGCATGATGCTTATGTACTTATAAGTTTGATTTTTACTTTTCCACGAGCATTCTTATGGATAATTTATAATATAAATTTTTTTTTTTCTATATTGAAAAGTTTCATAATGTTTATGTAAAAGTTTTTTTTTTTTTTTGTATTTATAATGCTTATACGCTTATAAGTTTAGTTTTTTTTTCTGTGTTTGAGAATTATTTTCTATATTAAAAAGTTTTTGAAATAATTTAGTTTTTTTTGTTCGTTTATTATTTATTATTTGGGTTTACCTTGAGGGTAATTTGGGAAAAATAATAGGGTGTAATAAAAGTAAAATAAAATTTAAAATAATTAAACATGGTGTACTTAAAAATTAAAAGTATTTATTG